GAAGTGTTCTATAAATTCTAGTGATAAGTCCCTTGTCAGATATGTTATTACCAAATATTTTTTCCCAATCTGTAGGTTCTCTTTTGACTCGTTTGGAGAAGTCTTTGGAAACACATAAACATTTAATCTTTAGAAGGTCCCAATCATTTGGCTTCTCTTCTGCTGTTTGTGTGTTTTGAATTATGCTTGGTAGTCTATTTATGCCATGTACTAGGGCCCTTAAATTTGACCCTAAATTTTCCTTGATGAACTGTATAGTTCTAGGTGAGACTGCTATTCTTAAAAAGACCTGTGTGGTAGTTCAGTTTGTGCGTCAACTTGGCTGGGCCTGGTTGAGTGGCTGGGCAGCTTGATGTAGTATTCCCCATGATGAGACTGGTAGACTGGTAATTAGCTCCATGGTGGAATCTACTGTGAGCAGCTGAGTAGCTGCCTTAGGGAATGTGGTCTGCTTCCTGTATATAAGCAAAAGCCTTGGGAATGGTCTCTAGTTTATGGCACACTTGGACCCTGTACATAGCCATTGTCATTGTTCAGCAGCCTGCCATGCTCTGCTGACCTTGGGATTTACAATGGACTTGAGTTAATGGCCTTCCATGTGGTTTGGTAACATCGGGACTGTGCCTTTTTACTTGTCAACCTTGGGCTTGGCAGCCTCAGCAGCCAGCAGCTGTCTAAGTGAAGAAAAGCCTCTAGCTCCAGTGGCCCGGGAGCAGGAGACAGAGCTGGACCCCAAGGTTGAGGGGCTTTCATCCAGCCCCTAGAACCAGGCACTTTGAACTTGAATTTCTAGTCTCCCAAACTGTAAGAGAATAAACTCCTGTTTGTTCAAGCCATCCCATTTGTGGTATTGAAACCAAGTAATGTCAAAACTATTTCCCCACCCTAGTTAAAACAGATAATAATTAGAACAGATAGGACCCCAGATGGGAATAGATAAGTAAACTTAATTACCCTCAACTATTTCCCCACCCTGGTTAAGACAGATGAGTAAACATAAAAAACTCAGTTCCTTAAGAACTGAATGGAACAAAAAACATTCTTTCTTGCTATTTCCTTGAGCATAGGGATAAATGTGTTAATGTGTCTTAGCAAACAACTTGAAAATTAACTCTGGCCGGTGGACATGTGCAGTGGGACAGAGAGGAACATAGTTACTGGGAACTAACACTCTCCCCTCTGCCTAAGCCCTGATCAGCTGACAGGAAGCCGGTGTGACTCATCCGGTATGAAAGCACACTGGATTAAAATGCTACTGTCCCTTTAAACTGAGGCAAAGAAAGTTCAGCCAACCATCAACCATCTCACGCCCAAATTCCTGGAATTTTTATGAATATGCATAACCCTCTCTTCTGAAATCTACAAAATTGTAATTTGATGGAGTTTTGGGGCATCAGATCTGGGTACAGACCCCTGCCTCCTTGCATTGCTGCTTTGCAATAAATAATTTTCTCTCCTCTTAATCACTCAGTGTGTAAATTGTTTTGGCCTGACTGCACACCAGGCAGGGTCCCGCATTTGGTCCTATTTCGGTATATTGTTATCAAAGCAGCACTAGGTAACCAGAACAACCTGCTTATAAGGTTGGCCTAGGACCTTGGATTTTGACAGGGTGGCCACCATTCCCAGAACTGATAAGAGTGGCTCACTGTGCTTAAACTATTTTACAAACAATATGATTTAGGCTGAACATGTACTTTCCTTCTAGGATCCTGCAATTTTGTTGCAAAGTATGAAGAAGTTGCCTTTGTGACCAGACTCCAATAAAAACCCTGGTCACTGAGTCTCTAATAAACTGCCCTGGTAGACAACATTTCATACAATTCACTCCTGGCAGAATTAAGCTTGTCCTGTGTGACTCCACTAAGAGAGAACTCTTGGAAGCTTGAGCCTGGTTTCCTCAAAATTTCGCTCCATGCACCTTTTCCCTTTGCTGACTTTGTCATGTATCCTTCCACTATAATAAGCCATAGCCATGAGTACTGCAGTGTATTAAATTACTTAGTATGGCTTTTCTACCCATAAGTCATTGTAAACTCAGTGGTGGAATGAGCAACTGAGGAGCTGATTGTAAATGTTAACCACGTGGAGTATTTCTGTTGGGTGTGGCACAATACAATGTTCTGGGAGGTGCCCACTTTCTCTCAGGTGCTTAGAGTTCTGATGCTATGATTGGCTAGTTTGACCACCCTGCCGGGCTCAAAAGGAGGCCTCCTGGAGGCAGAACTCTCTCTCTGACCGCTGGTTGAGGAAGACGTGCTGCCAAAAGAGACACGCGCCCCTGAAAGAGACAGGCATTGCTGTGAAAGAGAAGCAAGAGACACGCGTTGCTGAGTGAGACACCGAGGGACCAGCACTGCTGGGAAAGAGACTGTGAGAGACTGTTGGCTGAGGGACGTTGGGCTGGGAGAGAGACTGAGCGTTCTTCCTGAATTTGAGTTGTAGCCTGGTGCTTCCCTAATAAACCCCATAATCTGTGAGTTCTGTGTGGCCACTGCAGTGAATTATCGAACCCAGGAGAGAGGTGGTGGGTGCTTTGGGAGGAACAGTTGAAGCAAGGGCTGGAGGGGGGAGGCAGCATGTCTGGCTTGGCAGGAATAGGCCTTGGGTTACTGCTGGTAATCCTGTCTTCCTCTTGTGGGATTAGAGGAGGTCAGAAAGTGTGGCCTCCCTGCCGTTTTTGCAAGTACATTCTGCTGAATCTTGTGAGTCCTCCCAGCAAATTGATGAACCCGGCAATGGTCTTGGGGATTTCTGACACAGTTATCTAGGAAGATAATTATACTGAAATAACCTCTAACATTGGAACAAAAATTGGATGCAAAAGATGCCTCCCTTTCCCTGTCAGTTGGTCCCCTTTTCTGGGGAATTCAAATTTCATTACCCATTCCTGTTTCTAACTCCTAAACAAATGAAAACTGCGATTGATACCAATTCTGAAAATGAGTCTCAAAATCTCCCAATAGGATTTATCGTTATACTGTATGGCTACATTGTAGTTTGAATACTATTTTAAAAAGTAAAATAAAACCGTTTGATCATATTTTTTTGCAAGGTGGAAAGCACCTCAGAATTTCTATAACTCTTAAAATCCAGGATTTTAAGAGGTGGAGATTGTAATACAAACCTCAGGCAATGAGAAATAGTGTGCAGGTGCAAAGTGTCCTGTGTAGGATATAGCAAGCATCTAAATTACCAAGAGGATTAGCTTATACAGAAGGAAACAAGGGGGGCAAAGGTTGGAAAATTAAACTGAGATCTAAGGCTTCAAATGCCAAGCTGGAGAATTTGAAACTAATTTAATAAGTCTAAAGTGCCACTAGCACTGGACTACCAGCCAAAAATTTGGATGTTTAAAACACCCAGATCCTTGGAAGACAGGCCTGAGGATCTTTTTCCAAAAGGCCTCATCCACTGCCATCATCAATTCCAATGCATAGTGATCCTATAGGACAGAGTAGAACTGCCTCATAGAATTTCCAAGGCTGTCAATCCTTACTGAAGCAGACTACCTCATGTTTCTTCCATGGAGCAACTGGTGGGTTTGAACTGCCAATCTTTTGGTTAGCAGCTTTAACCACTGCATCACAGAGCCCCCTTCCAAAAGTCACAGCCTTGAAAACCCTATGGAGTGCAATTCTAATCGGCAAACATGAGGCTATCATGAGTCTGGATGGATGCAGACAGTTAACAACAACAGTAAGGTAACAAAGATAAAGGGATGCCACTGAGGCCACTGACTAGGAGAATAACAAATTCACAACTGTATTTTAGGAGTATCAATCTGGGGACAGTCCTAGCTAACCATCAAACATGTGGGTGAGGCAGTCTTGGACCTCCCAGCAGACTGCAGTCACATGAACCAAGCAAGGCAAAATGAGCCAAAGACCTGCCGGTCAACACACAGAAGCCAAAGAAGAAAGAAAGAATAAATCATTGCCGCTTGGTTTGTTATGTTGCAATAGATAACGTTAATACATTGTTTTAAGGTTAGGGACAGGTCTTAATCTCCAATCTAAAAAACCAGGAGTGATTTCCAGATTACCATCTGCCCTTTGTTTTGCCAGAAGATAGGCTAGGGCGCCTCCTCTCTTCATACTTAAAGCTGCCCGGCAGCCATATACTTGGGACATGCAGGATATCACATAATCACTGTACAGGTTTTAAGGAATGGAGCTTAAAGAATGATCCAATTCCCCAGCATACAAAGATCTAGAGTAGTGATTTGCTCAGGGTCATGCGGTAACGGCTTGAATGGACAACAGTTGAGCTTTTGATGCATAGCACAAGCATTGGTTGGTAAGAGCGCCTACCGGGTGTTCAGCTTAGGCATTTAGCATTACACACGCGCCTGTAGATTATACAAACCCCTCTGATTGTTTATCAAATTTAAAGTGGTAAATTGTTTAATGTTCTTTAACCCTGAACATGGTTTTAATTTATATTCTGAAATTTGGCTTCTTGGTGTCCTTTAAACTTTAAAAAGGAAACACCTGTATGCAAATTATATTTTGGGGTTCAATAGTTTTTTTTTTTTTTTTTCTCCCTGGCACAACTGTTCCATCTGAGTAAACTTTATTTCCCATTTACTGAAAAAGTAAGTAAGTCTTGTTTTGTTTTTCACGCTAAGTATCCCGGGGATACTCTCAGAGAGCAAAACCAAACTCAAACCCCTGCCATCGATTCAGACTCACAGCGACCTCTATCGGGTTTCCAAGGCTGCAAATTTTTACCGAAGCAGACTGTTTCATGTCTCTTCCATAAGACGGCTAGTGGGTTCAAACCCTCAACCTTTCTATTAGCACCCAAATGGCTTAACCCCTAAACCACCAGAGCTTCTTCTCACCGAATAGAGTGAGCACGAAGAGCCCAAAAACCTTAGACTTTGCTGCCACCCATTCCTGGAGGCGCTGCCGGGCCTTCTGCAAACTCCACTGCGCATGTCTGCCCACCAACTAACGTCACGCTCAGGCTACGCCCTCCCGAACGCCATGCAGGCCTACGGTAGTGCGGGGCTCGCGCGGGGCCTGCGTGCAGTTACTCAGGCATGGCTGCGGAGCTCGTGCGGCCGCTCCCTGACCTTGTTGCGCACGGCAAGTGCGCCTTACGCGGTGGACCGGTGGCCTTTGGCCGGCCCAAGGCCGCCTCGGCGCCCATTCAGTCTGTCCGCGGCAGCGGTCGTAGACTCGGCGCCTCGCCCGCTACAGCCCTATCTACGGCTCATGCGGTTGGACAAGCCCATTGGTGAGTGCGAGCGAATGCGCGGCGTAAGGGGCGGGGGAGTCCGCGGGCGGCAGTCCCAGACCCGGCCCCGCGGAGATGGCCGCATCCGATGTAGCAGGAGTCAGAGTCCAAAGGTCCGGGCTCAGATACCCTCCGGCTCAGGGACGGGACGGTCTCCAGGGGGACCCTCCAGCCCTCACGTCCATCTGGATCCAGAGCCTCCGAGGCGGGGAGCAAATTCAGTCCTGCCATAAATACTTGTTAAATGGAGAATCGAGCAGAACATTCCTTTCTCTTTAATTGCAAAGATTTACAATATTTAAGTATTTCTGCTTTCTTGATGATGTTTTATCCTAACAGCAATCCTTTAAGGCCGCTAATGCAAATAATTGAGACATTTACGACGTTGTGGAAATTAAGGCTCCTGGGCAATGCCTGACCAAAAGAATTCAGTGTTTTGATGTTGAATCCAAACTTTATTACCAGCACTACTCCTAACGCAAAAAAATTGAATTCATTAGAACGCATCTGGTGCAATGCTTAGGGACTGCCCATCAGCACACCATCGCCTCCTAAGGGAGGATTTCTGAAATAACACCTCATTATCCCTTTGTTTCTCTGAAGGAAGGTTGGGCAGTCTACTTCCGTAGCTATAGTCGAATCCAACTCGATGGCAGTGAGTTTTTGGTTTGGTTTGGTTTGGTCTGTTTCCTCTTCAGAGTACTCACCAAATCTCTGGTAGCATAGCGCCTAAGGCATCTGACTGCTTACCAGAAGGCTGACAGTTCAAACCCACTTGCCACTTCTCAGAAGGAAGGTTGGGCAATCTGCTACGCTAGAGATGTTGCTGTTGTTATGTGCCATTGTGTCGGACCTGACTGATAGCAACCCCTCCTTGGGTTTCCGAAGCGGTATCACTACGGAAGTAGATTGCCCAACTTTCCTTCTGAGGAGTGGCTGGTGGGTTTGAGCTGCCAGCCTTCTGGTTAGCAGTCAAGTGCCTTAGGCACTACGCTACCAAAGCTCCCACCCTAGAGATACCGCCTTGGAAAACCCAAGGAGGGGTTGCTATGAGTTGAATGGACTCGGGGGGCAGTGAGTTTGGTTTTCTGGTTTACTTACCAAAGCTAACTTATGCATTCATTACTTGATTGCCTCCTCCAATACAATATAAGGTCCACGTGGATGGGCCTTTTTTAAAAAAAAAATCTGCATGCTTAGATCAGTGCCTGGCATTAGTATTAAATGTATTAATAAATTCCTGCTGTTAGTTGCAGTTGAGTCCAACTCATGGATAACCTATGTGTGCAGAGCAAAACTGCTGCAAAGGGTTTTCAAGACTGACCTTTTGGAAACAGATTATCAGACTTGTCTTCCAAGGCCCTCTGAGTGGTTGGTTTCAAACTACCATTCATGCTACCTAGGGGCTGCCTACCACTTTGCTTAGCCTTGGGGATAGAAAGGTAGGGAAACTTAAACTCCTAGTCTAATTGGGAAGAGACTATTTGGTGAGCTAGGAAAGTATGGAATTAAATATGAGAGGTATAGACCAAGTGCTGCAGGAAAAATAAGTTACTGTGGATCTTCATTGTTGAGAAAAGTTTCAAGAAAAATTGTACTCCAAAGGCTGAGTAGAGAATGGAAGAGATCTTCCTGGTGGAGAAAGTATCTTTGCAAAGACCCAAGGGATGGAGTGTTGGGACACGAGCCTGATCTGGAACACCAGGTGGGTGTAGAGGGTAATGGGAGATTAGGCTGGATAAGGTCTGAACTGAAGAATGGATATTGAAGTTGTTGTTGTTGTTCGGTGCTATCAGGTTGGCTCTGACTCATGGTGACCCTACGTACAACAGAACAAAACATTGCCCAGTCCTGTGTCATCCTCACAATCCTTGCTATACTTGAGCCCATCATTGCAGCCACTGTGTCAGTCCATCTCATTGAGGGTCTTCCCCTTCTTTGCTGACCTTCTACTTTGCCAAGCTTGATATCCTTCTCAAGGGAATGAATGATACCTTCTGACTACATCACCAAAGTAGATGAGACAAAAGTCTGGCCATTCTCATTTCCAAGGAGCATTCCTACTGCACTTCTTCTAGGACAGACTTGTTCATTCTTTTGACAGTCCATGGTATTTTCCGTATTCTTGGCCAACACCACAATTCTGAACTCCAGCAAATCTAAATAATTTTTTTTCTTTTTTTTTTTTTCTTTTTATTAGGATTTGGGTGAAGATTTACAGAGTAAATTCACTTTTCATACAGCAGTTCACATATACTTTGTCTCATGACATTGACCAA